ATCCTCATTGGCAGAGTTATGGACCACATTCCACATCTTTATATCGCTTGCAAGTATTGTTATTTCGAATTCAAAATGCATTGCCAATCAAACGCGTATACAACAAATATAGCTAGTTCTAGTACCAAGATCTTGCGCAAACTGATCGTGACTACTGTAGGCTGAGAAATCGCCTGGATTTGGCAAACAGCCTGAAATTGACTGCTGAAATCTCCTCCGAGGAGCTTTTAATTATTCTTATTATTTCAAGCATACGAAGCAATAGCTGACTTGTTACAGTACCGAAAATCTTTAGAGGTCCATGAAGGTTACGTAACCCGCGCACCTATCCTACAACGTCCTGATCCGGCTCTTTATAATGTTGAGCAATCTGAGGAGTGGGTGCGATAGGTGCTGCGCACGTCTGTCCCCACTCTAAACTAATTCACACGCGAGTCACCTTGCCTGCCCTCATCTTGCTATGGAACACATGGTGGACATCGTCGGTCAGTACTTCCTAACTGTCGTCCGTGGCTCGCCTGTGCACTGAGAATCAGGTCACAATATTTTATTTTAATTTGACGTTTCCACATATGTGAGATTCGAGCCTGCCATCTCCGTGTGTGAAAGCCTATTGCGTGCTGGGGGTCCGGTCGTGTGTGGTATTCGTGGACGGGCTATTGAGTTCTGTCAACCACTCACGCTCAGTTCCAACAACAGACTGATAACCATCTAGGACAGTGGACTGGTGTATGGAATAGGGGAGAGCGAAGGAGGTGGCAGCGCATTGTCTCACTATAAACAATCTGACGCCCACTTAAACTATCACAGTGCTCTAAAATTTGTGGCTTGGAAAGCTTCAAATTGATGGGATAGCTCGGTTCTCTCAAGACAGACAGACAGGCTGCAATGGCTTCTTCGTACTGACACCTCTATGACAATTTCATCCAAATGGGATCTGAGCCGACCAGTTCTTCCTCTGCGAAAACCTGGTCAATCATGCGCGGATTAGGCGTGAGTGGCACTCATGGATGGGCTGTTAAGCTTTGTCAGCCACTTTCCCCCATCTCCTCTCCGATCTTCCTGGCTAAGACTTGCCCCTGTGCCAAGGGGTGTGAAGTAGGAAAGAGTGCTTCAGATGCATCGCAGGTCTACTACAACTGTAAACTAATTCACGTGCAAGTAGTCATTCCATCGTGTTGTGAAGTACACGGTGGTGGTGGTTGAAATGTCAGTCTTGTCCCCCTCACTGAGGACGAAGGTGTTGTGATCGTAATGTACCCAGAATTAGGGTTTGTCCTCCTCAGACAGCAGTCCTTTGACTTGTTGGAAAACTGCACCACCAAAGAGTCCGGAGATGGTGAACCCTTCGCACAGGCACAGAACCAGGCGCACATCGGAACTCTGGTCATCACCGAGCTTTTGTACAGAATACGCGCCCCTGTTGGTGTCTTACCCCCTCTCCTTCGTGACAGGACTGGGCCCTGATAATTCGGGTCGTGAAGGTACATCCGGCATCGTAGTTGCTACATGAGCACAGGAGTTATGGCACTTTGGCACGTTCCACTTTCCAATACGAGGTCTGCGTTGCAGATTACGTACTGCCTCTTCCCATTCGTTTGCACCACTAAATCAGGGTATCGGTGCTCGTCAATTGTCACAAATCCATACCACTGATTGCGGTCTTATGTTAGTAGATTTGTCCTTCGAAATGATTTGGGGATTTTTAGGCAGGTCTACTTATCACGTTAAGCGCATCGCTTACTTTCACTTATGTCGGTGACTAGCAGACTCTCGGCATAGAGATCAACACTTCCTTACCAATCCAATCATATCGTTTTATCGTGCAGTTATTGTTATATGATACTTGTGGATCGAACGCATGAGCAAAGCAAACCATAAAAACAACCAGGCTTCGTCCTGTAATCTCCCCAAGATCAATCCTTAAACGGAAATTATCTCGGGCTATGTCCCGACTATCAGTCGCGTGACATCCGCGTACGCTTTCATTAGTGGAATCTACTATATCATTATCAAGTTACGCGCCTCCTTCTCTCCTATTGACAATGAGTCCGTTAGGGAAAATCAGGGATACTAAGAATCATATAACCAGTTTCCTGTTCAGTTTGTTTACTCGCAAACCAGTTTTAAAGACTCGGTTGCGCTCTTCGGAGATTTTTGTAGGTCAGAAACGCTTCTGACTTCGTGACGACGTCGCACTTCATTATCTCCAGAAAGAACCTGCACTCATTTACTCACAGAGATCTTTAACTTTTACGGCCCTTTAATGTTCAGAGTATTTTTGCACGCACGATTTTGCTCCCACGTGATACCTTCGGAGCGGATTTCCACTAGCCAATCAGGTTGGTTCTCGTAACCATATCTTGCATCGCACGTTTTTCTAAATTATTCAAGGCCATAAACTCGTTCACCTATTGTCGACGGATCAATCACTTGCTAGATTTATTCCAGTCTTTGCCTCTCCTTAAGGACACAAAACCCTTTCCTTGATTAGATTCCGCTTGCTTATGTTCACTTGCATTTTTGGAGCATACCCACAACTGTCATGCCAATCTTGCCATCAATAACTGTAACCTCCTCGTCTTTCAGGAGGAAGTCATTGTAGACATGATTCTATTCCAAGTCACTAGCTCTCGTTGTAGAGCTTCTTTTGTTTGTTTCCAGAGTACTTAACGCATCCCCATACTCTTGAATATGCACATTTCACTCCATCCATTGTTAGTGTTTTAGCGTTCGAGGACTTCCTAGAGGTGCATGCTTTCCTAGAGGTCAATGCCAATTGGTTGCACTCACACTTTTTGCCGAAGAAAGCAAAATCAGCACTGAGGTGATCGGATTTGAACCTGTCCTCAGTGTCAGCTGCGTGATGGATCTCAGGCAGTGACTTCAGTTACCAAAATGTCCAGATGTTTCAGTGAGTTCATGGCCTCATTCTGGGCTTTTAGCCATTCTACTTATCTTCTATACCATGCCATTCCATTCCATACCATACTTAAGGTTCTCCGGCCAAATTTACACCGAGAATTCCCAATCGAACAATCCCCTGTAACCTGGGTATGTGCATCAATGTGACACGCTATGGATCCTGACGTAAATTATGCAAAACTTTCCTCAAGTAGGCTTGGGGGCTTCAAAATGAGATATTTAGTTGTCTAACGGACCTTCACGTTATTACCTTGATCAATTTCGAATACTTGTGAGAAACGCTCACGTTGGCATCCTGGGTCCTCAGTGATGCAGAAATTAACAGATATTGTTGAGTTCAGTTCGGATCTAACGACGGCAAAATAAAATTTGAACATTCGCTCGACGAGTCGAAGACCTTACATCTTCGGATCGCGGTGGTCGTCGGTTGCCAAAAAGTCGTATCTTGGATCACGGACGAAAGTCTGGTTCCACGTGATATTTTTGAGTTGGATTTCTACTAGTCAATCAAGTTGGTTATCTACGGCTTAACTTACCTTGCTATAATGTCGTATCATCTCGGTCCTATGCTCGGACATTTGTCTCCCAAATTGTTTTTAAAATTTTTAAACAGGATCTTTTTTCATATTAAGTGTACCACTTACGCTTACTTTCTACTACAGTCGCTGACCAGTAAGTTCCTGAGCATGCTGTGCTCGACTTACTGACAGAGCAATGATATCGCCAAAATTGTCTTGTGGGAAAGAATTTTCTTATAATTTGCTGGTAACCCATCTTAACTATTAGCATAGCTGACACGACGTACGTCTGTGGATCAAGCGGTGGAGAGTTTGACTAAAACGCCAAATGACCGAGTGGTCCTAATGCAATTCTAAGTCTTTATTGGCCTTGGATCGAATCAGTGCTGATCGACGATGGCAACATAACCCGGAACGACTATTCAGACCTCCATGTCTTTCCCAGCATTACTTTGCTATTATTGGTGGTTTTTCGTCAAGTGACCACCTCGGAGGGCTGTAGACGGAGTTGTAAACTAGAACTGACGTATGCACTCCTTCTTGCAGTCCTGGTCCAGGTCAGTTAGTGCCGCCATCGGGTGATTCTAAATTAATGTGTGATAACGAACGGCCGCTCGGCGATCAAGCACTCACAGTCGGACTCCGTCTTCTATTCTTGCTATTTCGTAAGAAGACACTCATATCAGTCCGAAGATATCTTCGAAACGTTCCGGTGAACGGCTCTTCCCCTACTGTCATCCCCCTATAAAAGGCGGGAACCAGGTGGGATATTGGCCAGAGTTTTGCCGTCGCTAACCTTTTTAAGGAGTTCACTGAGGAAAAGCCTTGTCTCCCACGAGTGCGTCACGTCTTTAGCACATTTAGGACTTCGCAAAATCCCCGATCTGACGAGTTCAACAAAGGAGTGAGAGACGTTGTTGATTTAGTAGAAAGTTGGCGTACACCTAACTGATCTCTTGTCTCAAATAATCGACGGAAACGCAGCATAAAATACGCAGATTTTAATAAAAGACTGACGATCGACCCACTTCCCCGCAAAGTGGAACAGTCATAGAAGGATTATCGGTGCGGGTTGTTCGCTAATGAGGCGAATGTTGGGGACAGAACTATGGAGCAGCAGTCACCAATGGTACCGATGCCTGCAGAATGCGCAACACGATGTGATTCGACCTTATCGTAATCAGCCGTCCTACGTTGTTAAAGTCACGTCATAGGAACTGGAGAGACAAGACAACCCCATCACAACCGGCTAGGGGAAAGGCACGCGATATTTAAATTTAACTTCAACTACATAGTATTCAACAATTGCAAATATTGGGTTTTCCGACAGAAAGAAACGACGAAGAGGTGACTTTAAAAGTAGGTAGATAAAAATATTGTTTGGGATATTGGATATTCAGACCAAAAAGAGTTTATTTAGTCTCTGTGTCCGCGTCTGTGAGCTCGTGTGTGTGTATGGGTGCGTGTACGCATTTATACCAGTCGTCGGAGGAAGGAATTATGCACGGAATGCTGCTTGTCTGCAATTACCTGTGTGGATGTCGGAATCGCAGGAGTTCAAGACCAACCGGATGTTTTAATTTTGGTTGTAGTTTTTGCGGGAGATCCTGGTTCGGGGAGCTGAATAAACCGCGATGCAAACTCGATCAGATACATGGTTTCCGGGCGTACGTAATGGAAGCTAATGGTCCGATCTGAAGTCGGCATCCCCTGAGAGAAGGAGAAGAGGAGATTAAAGTAATATTAGTGGCGCAACACGGACATATATGTAGACATGGGAGACGAGAAAGGATATTTGGAGACGCACCTTACAGATTACCCTCATTACTAAAATAGTTGATACATATACCTTATTGAGTAGAAAACGGGCATGCTGGAGAATGAGGACTAATGCGGTTGATCCGCCACAACCGGATGTCCAATGGCAGCCATTCGCCAGGATCAAATGTCATGTAGTGGGCACATGCCACCTGTCACTGACCTTAAGTTTAGCGGAGAATCAGAATTTGGGTATCTGCTTGCGACCGCCTCAAATGATGCGAATCGGTGATACAGGTATTTGGATTGGCACATTTCTTGGACAATGTAGCGCAGTTTGGTGTTGTACAGTGGACTGCACTGGACAAAGGCGGCTACCGACGCTGTAGATGTTTTTGTGAAAGTCTGGAATGTTAACACAGAAGGTGAACGGCTTTCTGTCTCATAGGATCACATCGTTATCGCTGTAGTTTTGAGCGTTTCAGATGGCGGGAAGCGGCTAATGGCCACTAACAATAAACAAGTTCACGTTTATGACCTTGAGGCGCCCTCTCCACCCATTAGAGCATTTATAGGTCATAAGAAGATCACCCGAAGGTGCTTGTGGATTAATAATGATAGTCGCGTCCTCACTATTTCCGGTGAAAAGGTTATAAACTTTCGGGGTCTTACATCCGGTGTCAGTCCTGATGTTCGGATAATCTGGTCAGTTCCCCCGACGACCGTCCAGTGGACGCTCCCAGACTCACCCTTTCAGAGGGTGGAAGGTCTTTTAAGGCAATCGTGGCTCTCAGAAAGTGCGTGGTCGTCTATGAATTCGACTTAGTGTATAATACAGAGCCAGTTCTACTGTATGCCAGATCATCAGAAGTCCACTGGAGTTTTTTCGTCCTCCCATAAGTTTCTTCACTAATTGTGGGATATGGTTTCATGTAGAACTCTGACAGCTCAGTCTTGAGTGAACCCTACGTTCGTCCCACTCTCCTTTCCAGTGCTTGCGTGGGACATTGTGAGATAAGTTAGATGTGAAAAACAATGTCATACTATAGGAGACAGTGATTTATTCCGTCCGGATACTTAGGATTTGAGGGTTCAGAAGGAACCACTACCGTTTTCACTTAGACCAGGAAGCACGTGATCCTTGTGCTCGAGTGGTCTCCATAATTTTTTTTACGAGTACCTTGGGCATCAGCAGTTATCTCTATTCATTCATATTATTAAAAATAAACGTACCCTAGAGCGCAGACTTTTGCGGATGCGCGAAGCTGCACCTGTTGTGAGCCAATCACTTCTCCCAAATATCGATTCCGGACTGACCGAATTGAACTTGAGTCTCTGCTGATTGTCTAAGGCGTCGTAGAGATCTACACCGACAGCAACACCACAGACGCCTAAGAGATACCAGAAATTTTGCAATAATCAGTCTTACTTGAGCATAGAGAAGACAATTTGGAGCATGGAAAGAGCGTCGGGCAGCTGTGTGTGGAATCATCAGACATAACTTAATAGATGCTCATGCCTATTGGGCGTCGTTGAACTACTTTTAGGCCCATGTGAAAAGAAGGATAGACTGACTTATTAATTTCTACTTAGGAACTGGTTGCAGTGTCCACCATCAGAGCAATGCAGAGAGACAAAAACAGATCCGTTGACTAGACCCCGACTTTCATACATACGTATACATTCGTACATCAGGAAATGGGAAATCGACTTGTCAGGAAGGGCCGACGTCAGATATGCGAAAGCGCTGGATAAAAGTAGTCAGTGGTCCTGACGAGACAAAACGCTACATATGGAGCAAAGGAATGCATCGCCTGGAAAGAAGACAGTCCCAAGATTGAGCGCGACGCGAGAATCCGGTGATCAGAGAAACAACAGGCGTACGAATGTCCCCCTCTGGCACAAACCAGACTCTGCCAGCCTGAAGGAGTCAACCCTGGCACCTGTGTCCACTAAAGTCCGTCACAGATACATGACAGTTCGACCGTCGCAGGCGACGACGTCCAGTGCATGCTCCGTTGAATGGGCGGAGCGTCGGTGACTTTCGCGTGAATTAGTTCATAGCGATTGAGACGTGCGCAGCAAGAACTACACACCTACTTTGCTCCGACGATAAGATAATATCAAGGCGGCCGCGTGTTGATGAGGATGCAGTGACTGGTAAGGCCGAACAGTCTGTCTGCCCGTTCCCCACACGACCTGGCCCCCAATGCGCGTACCGCGCCTCCATGAATCTGACTCGGACTTCACGCGCGTGAGAGGGCCATGAAGGTCAAATTGAGAAGGAGCCATTGAGTCTGGTTCTGGGTTCTGCGGTCATTCCAAAATGTTCCCTGGGGATGGAGTTGGGAGTCCTCGAAGTCACGACTCTTAGTGCACGGGGATGTATTCAAGCTCGTCAGATTTTTTGTAGCAGTGAATGCACTGAAATGTCGCGTGGATTAATTCCCAGTACAGGCCTCGCTCCTTCTTCCTTGGCTCATGCATCAGTCGGCTGTCTGAGCCTCTCTGCCAACTGCTAATCGAATGGGGCGCAGTGGCTTTCAGGATAAATGGCAAGTATTCGTGCGTCGCACACGACCCGATCACCAACGCCTGTACTAGGCCGCGTCAAAGGGTATACTGCACATGAAAGTAGGGGCACTCGACGATTCGTTCGACACAGCGGTGTTGGCAAGGTAGATCTCATGCTTGCTGCGGGAGAGTGGTCTGACGCTGCGCGGGGGACGCTTGTGTATATTATGAATTTGCGTCCTTCCTAGCCTCGGAGATGTGTGTGCTCAGGTGGGTTGAGATGTGAGGATCAAAGTCGGACTGTGGTTTTTCTAACTAAGACCTTCAATGAGGGGCATATGCCCGTATTACGGTCGGATATCCAGGAGCAGTGTGAATAGAGCAAACTGGGTCGAAGTGTGTATATTGCAGTTCATGGCGCTATTTCTTCAGTCTTCGCACGATAGATTCGCAAATGACCAACCAGTCCGATGCGTGCTTTAAACGTGCAGTCGCAGTGGGTACAGGTTAAAATTGAGTCCACACTGTTGATGATATGCCAATCGTGGTGATATTTTGCAGGATGGCAGGAGTGTCTTCACTGGTGATGCTGGTAGTAGTAGTAGTAGTAGTAGTAGTAGTAGTAGTAGTAGTAGTAGTAGTAGTAGTAGTAGTAGTGATGGTGTGCCATGAGATCATAGGTGGGTTGATCGTCCCGCCATTGCACTGGGTCTGGAGATGTTCAACAAACATATCCCGATTCCGGAATGTCGATTAGCAATGGGACATTTCATCGGTTTCCGTAGGGGAGGACGACAATCGGGCAGTTGCTGCCGCCGCCCTGCTAGTGATCAGCGACACCGGTCTATCAGAAACCCGACACAGTTACCCAGGACCCTCCCAACCAGCTTACACCCTCGTCGCAGCTACACCTCACCGCAAGCAGGGATTGGGTGATGAACCAACTACGTGATTTACTCACTGCGCCCCACGAACTCAGCCCCGCCACGGGTCGTTTACTGGGTCTGGCGTCTGAACCACTGCGGATGGGAAACAAGCAATCGTCCTCCGTAATGGCATCAATAACCAGGACAGTTTCAGGGGAAACCAGAGAAACAGAAACGCATTCCCTACAGGAGGACAATTCCATATTCTATGTCAAGATGGTTCACCCTTCCATGCATCATTCATCGTCGGGCGTTCGGAGGTCGGCCATTCTCACCTCTGTCTGAACGAGAATCAGTTAGGTAATGACATGCTCTGCTCTGACTATCACCCCTAACATCTTGTTCCACCGACACATGCCCAACACGTTTTTGGGCCATTTAACCTACCAAGGTACCTCCTCTATCACGTTCACTGCCGTGTGTATCTCAATTTGGTCACTAGATAGAAAGCAGAAGCGGACTTTCCAGACACTAACACCGTGTATTTGTTAGTCCAAAGTGGCCATTAAGTTTGGTTTCTTGATGATAATTCAACCAGTCGATGCACTGAACTCCCCCTTACACCAAGATATTTGATGACTTTGCTCGCCTTTTGGCAAAATTTATTAATGTTTACCATTAGCCGAGTAAACATCAACGCAAGATCCACTTCCCCGTTCTGGATCGACCTTGGATAACTTCTCACTCGAAAGGGTTCCCTTGTCGTCGGCTAGAACTTGTCGAATATATAATCCTATCGCTTGATCTTCCGGGTGTTTTCATATCCTTTGGGAAGATTGTCATCATCCGCAAATTGACCGTGGCTCATGATGTAAAACTCATTGTCGAAACAAAACAACAAATAACAGGAAACTACACCCCCGTTCCCGCCGCCCTACCCGCAGACTGCTAGAGTGATTCTGTTAACACTGACACTCTAAAATGTTCGTTCTGATTTAAATAACCCGTGAAGAAACCGACGAGAAAAGAGTACGGCGCTATTAGCTGGAGACATGACGAGCAATAAGGTGCAAATCACTGCCGTCAGCGAGACACGGTTCTCCGAACAGAGTCAGCTGGAGTAGGTGGGTGCCGTCAACACCTTCTTCTAGAGCGGCCGCTCCAAGGCGGAGCAACGCGACACCGGCGTCGCCTTTGTCATTCTGAACGATATCGTGGGACGACTACCTTGTCTGCCGCAGGTAGTGAACGACCGTCTCATGACGCTTCGCTTGTCTCTACGGGACGCTAATTTCGCCATTCGTCAGTGTCTACGCTCCTCCAATAACCAACCCTGTTGAGGTGTGAAACGGGTCCTACGAAGACTCCCACGCCCTCCTGGCGAGTCCGCCGAAGACAGGGAAGCTAACTCTAACCTCGGTTATTTCACTGCCCAAATTGGGACAGACTAAGTTGCCCGGAAGGGAGTGCTAAGCGCACAGCGAGTTGGCGCCTGCAATGAAAATGACCCTCTCCTTCTGCATACATGCACAAAACACCTCCTCCTCCTCCTCTTCCCCATCAACACCTCTTCGCCCATGCAAAATGAAAGGAGGCGACGTGGGTGCGCACCCGACCGCTGCGATTGCAGCTGCTGGACAACGTTCTCCTCCGTTTGCGTGGCCGCTACGACGTGCTACTGACAAAAGCGATCTGCGACGTCGACGGTTGGACGGATTCTCGTTCCGCCAATCCCAAGAGGAAGCCGAGAATCCAACCCCACAGACGACCACAGGATCAGCGGCCACTAGGTAAATTAGATGCTGTTGTGTTGAAAGTATTTCTTCATCGCTTCGATTTCAGCAATCAACTGACTCATTGTCGGGAAAAACTGCAGATTCCGAATTACAAAGCCACCATGGAGATGCAATGGTACAAACTGCGGTCCGTCGTCCACTCCACCGTCCTGGAGATCCTCGGTCGCTATTGCTGTCAACATCAGACTTGCTCCAATGGAAAACACAAAATCCGTAGTCCGCTCCCTGTGAAGACATCCTGCATAAAACCTACATTAAACTGTGCGTCAAATCCGGTACCGACGCAAACAAAATGGTCCTCTTCGGTTGTCGTGTTGGATCCAGCAACGGCTGAGTGAGACGCAAAATGCATGGATAGATCGCAAGGCCGACAGAATACGAGGGTAGGCGGACCTCTAGGAAACGAAGAATTTCATGGCCTTCTCCAAGGCTGTCTACGGCTCATGCACCAGAGGAACACCGCCGCTGCTTAGCTCCGACGGAATAACACTCCACACGGAGAAATCACAGATGCGGAAATACTGGTCCGGCCTTTTCAGCAGTGGTGGGCTAGGCCCTTCAGAACTATCCTCAGCCGCCAATCCACAATTTCTGACGCCGCCAGCGACCGGCTCCTTCAAATGGAAACCATTTCGTACCTGAACCATCCGCCCGTCCTTTCAGAAACAATCAAAGCTGTGCACCGAGGTCCGACTCAGTCGCGGCAGAACCCTACAAGCGCGGCGGCCCTCGGATGATGGATGAGCCCACCTCTCTGTTTCGGGAGATGTAGTGGTAAGGACAAATCCTTCAGAACCAGCGCACGCATATACAAACGCAAGAACAACTGACAACTCTGTGATAATCACTGAGGCACTTTCCTCCTAAACATCGGAGGGAAAATTTTCGCCCGCTTCCTCCTCATTAGCCCCAACGGCTATCTGGGACGCGGACTTCTCCTAGAAAGTCAATGTGGAGATGGAACGAACCGCGATGCAGTCGAGATTATCTTAGCCGCCCGACAACCGTGCGAGAAGTGTCAGTGAGCAACATCGCCAACAGGACGGACGACCAGCATCTTAAAATTCAGTCAGGAAACGCCAAGGACTTCACCTGAACACAAAATTAAGAATGTACACGACAGTTGTTCTAACAACGTTACCGTAAGGGACAGAGACATGGGCAGTCTACATCAATGAAGCCAGTAAACTCAAGCAGTTTCACCTCAGCGACCACCGGAGAATTCTACAGCTGAGCTTCAAAACAGGAACCGGACATAGAAGTCCTCGAGCGAGTCAGAATCCTCAGCATTCACACCATGCTGAGACAACTGCAAATTCGAGAGCTCGGCCACGTCGCGACGATGGATGACGAGCGACTGCCCAAACGCCTCTTTTGCTGTGATATCGCTGCTGCTGTCCGCCGACAAAGATGACAACAATGACGCCACAAAGACGAACTGTGGACCTTTTTTAAGGATTTAAAAATCGATCCGCGATCTAGGAGGATCTCGTCCAGTACTTATCGCCATGAAGAAGAGCAGGGAACACTGGAACAGCCATTTACGAAGCCTAACAGATCGCTGCTGCCAAAGCCAAAAGAGCAGTTCACAATTCTCAAGGGCCTCCGACCCATAACGTCAAAACCCAATCTCTTCCAACATTTGCTATCTGTCAACGAATACTTTGTTCATGGATCGGCTTCGTTGGACATCTTCGGATCCAAAGCGATAACAACATGCCGACTTTAAATCCTGCCATCAAAAGCGGCTCCATCGTAACCCCTGCCGCAAACACCACTACGTCCATGATGACAACCCCCACCACCGCTGAATACACTACCTATGGTTCGTTGTCTCCGTCACCACCGTAATTATTACTGCCACAACCTCTGCGACAACGACTACCATTCCACCGAATTCCGCCACCTGCGGTATTACGCCCGAAGTCCTGTCAACCATCAGCACCACCACCACAATCACCAGCAGCAGTGGGGACTCGATCCCAACCTGTCCTCGTTGAAATCACACCATGCCTCGCGGCGGCCTCGTAACTTGCGAATCCATTGCACTGAGACCGGGGACCGTCGGTTTTGACGATGTCCACCGTGTGCTCCACAGTAGGGTGAGAGCAGGAACGGTGACTTGTGCGTGAATTAGTTCAAAGTGATAGAAGAGTAACGCAAAATCTACCGCACTCCCTCTTTCCCGCGAGCCTGGACCCGGTGTCAAGACGTAGTCAAGGAAGCCGCAACACAGGTGAGTGGCGCGACCGGAGACAAAGGCATTGCCTATTACCCTTAAAATATGCTGACCTATACCTACAGGCGTACCACTACACTGAGTCCTGATATACGCCCGTTGCGTCTGCACAAACTGCCCGCGAAAATTTAGTCGTTGCCTGAGCGTACTCGAGCACATGCGCGTCCATGAAAATCTGCAGTACGACACCTCAGACCAAACTCCACTAACACACATTGTCCCACTAGTGCAAACACCAAGCATGAGCCCATCCCAGATCATTCAACGCAAGCACAGAATAGGTACTTCTCGTCGCAGTAGGAAGCGAGTTAATAGCTCCTTCTCTAATGATTTCTATGGCACTCTCATGCATGCGAGGTCAGAGTCGTCAACCTCATTTGTATGAAAATCTGGTATGATGAGCGAGGGTCGAGCTCAACCGTCGCATCCGGCGATGTCTACCGTGTGCTCCACAGCGAGCTAAGACAAGGGACAATGACCTGTGCGTGAATTAGCTTATAGTAGGTATAGATTTTCGCGCAACTACCGCACTCTCTCCCCCCCCCTCTCACTTGAGTCCGGTGTCAAGACCAAGCCAAGAAGACCGCAGGACGGGGGGGAGCACAGGTAGATGGCACGAACGAGCCTGCAACTTGGCGCTCCAGTCCACACCCCCTGGTCCACACATAAAATCACCAGGATTTTAACAAACAGCAAAAATGGGGGCGGCAGGGGTCCCAATGTGCGCAATGTCAGCCGGCAGATGGATCTGCCGTCACATCCAGAAGTGCTGGCATCCGTTAGGTGTGCATTACGATAACGCCTACCAGAATCCCATATCTACTCCGTGTTGGTACAGCGCATCTACCGCGTGGCCTGTTTGGGGGACAATTGATGACACCCTTAGATGTCCTGTTTAACTCTGCCAGCCACTGGCATTCAATGACTGACCAGCTAGAACCTTGGACTGGTGCTGGAAAGAACGAAGAGGAAGTAGTCTAAGGGATGAGACGAGTAAAATCGCCTCTTCAGTGCTGGATAACAGATGTCCCTGTCATCCTGAAGGTGAGAATAATCTTTTGATACTTAGGAGAATCCGGTCCCTCCTCTCCGCCCTGCACATGAAATTCTGTCGCGTCCGAACTGGCCGCAGTTAGAATGGAAATCGACATTCATCGGAGACAAGATCCCATTAGGTTAGCTTGTCTGAAGTGTTGCGATCGATCGTGAAGACGATTTTTGGAGAAACCAGTCTTCAAGTGTTGAGGATAGGACTGAGACGCATTGCCTTTTTTGCTGTAGGTGAAAAGAAGGCGATTGTGAATGAGCCACAGACCTTAGAGATTGTTTCTTAGTACATTCTTCCCAAGCACTTGAATGGCAGGTAACGCAGACGTGCATGAACGTCTCATAGCGGCTAGAGGGAAAGTGCTGAAGTCGCGAGCGAATTTAGTAAACAAACCGTCTTAGATATCCCGCAAGACATGAGATAAGCAGAAAGCTAGCGGTAGGATAAGTTTGCTTCGATGCAGTTTTTCTCTGTAAGATATGTTTGTGTAGTCCCACCTGGTGGACCCAATACTGTTGAAGCTGGGGTGAGGGTTAGGAGTTATGGTTAAGTGTTACGGTTAGGGGTTAGGGTAAGAAGTTAGGATTAGCGGGTAGGGTTAGGGGTTAAGGGTTAGGGCAACTATATCTCAACCACTCAATGTACAACCGCGAATTCACAATAGCTTTCCTTTTGCATACATCTACTTGATTACGTCGCCTAAGCGTTCCCCGACCCCACCTATGAACCCCTATTACAACCGGTCCCGTATTACAGGTGGCTAAGGTCTGTTTACTTCAGGTGGGGTTACATAACCTCATTTGACATTTTTCTTACTACCACTGACACAACGACTGTTCTTATGCACGTATTTTTAAACGGAGCCAACCACACGCCGTATTATTTTGACATGATTATATACGTTTATCTTATAAACTCTGTATTGATTCCAGCCCAGGTCCTCCTTCCCAGCTAGAACGGCAAATAATAAAAACAATCATGCCCTAACAGAACTCATAGACTTCCATGGCCTCCGCAAATAGCCCCTAGTGAGGTTATACTACTGATTGGAAAGGAAACAGGGACATCTATGAGAGAATAGAATGGCCACATTGGTCTTACTCATTTTTACATCTTCCTTATCCTCATCGTAGGTTGGACAGGTCGGGTGTATATCGATTGCTTTCTCAACCAGCAACTTCAGTGCCCCACGCGAAAGGACGTATCCGGCGCCTCCAGAAAAAAAGCCCTTTCTTTGGTATACCTGCAATAAAATAGTTTCTCTGAGAAATATGCTCTCGTGATGTATTTGGTTTGACCCTATCTCTGCCGAAGAACACTCGGGAAGCTGGTTTACTAGATGGCATTTAAGTACTATGTGATGAAGAAATACGGCAACAATTTTTGACATAAAAGCCTTAAAAATGG